TAGTGAAATAATCCTGAAAAGGATATAATTTCACGAGGAATAACGTTCCCAAAAAAGATTTTGATAAACGAGCTGTAGAAAAGTTGGGAAGGGGAAGTGATGGAAGGGGGTTATTATCAGTGCTATCGAGCAGCACTTGACTACAATAATCTGCTCACTGATACTCTGCCAGGGCTACTCAGCTCTGTCAAAGAAATGAAACCAGACGGATCACCTGGCATCGACCTAGGCACTGGAAAAGACAGTGGCTGAAACAGCCCTTTGCTGAAACAGCAAATTCCTCCTCACTAACATCTGAGGGTTAGTGCCAAAATTGGGAGAGCCGTCTCACAGACTAGTTAAGCAACAGCCTGACATAGTTGTACTCACAGAATCATACCTTACAGACAATGTCCCAGCCACCACCATCACTATCCCTGGATATGTCCTGTCCCACTGCAGGACAGGCCCAGCAGAGGTGGTGGCACAGTGGTATACAGTCAAGAGGGAGTTGCCCTGCGAGTCCTCAACATTGACTCTGGACACCATGAAGTCTCATGGCTTTAGGTTAAACATGGGCAAGGAAACCTCCTTCTGATTACTGCACACCATCCTCCCTCAGCTGATGAGTCAGTACTCCTCCATGTTGAACAACACTTGGAGGGAGCACTGAGGATGATAACGGCACAAAATGTACTCTGGGTGGGGGATTTCAATGTCCACCACCAAGAGTGGCAGCAGTATTACAGATTGAGCTGGTCGGGTCCTAAAGGACATAACTGCTAGACTGGGTCTGCGGCAGGTGTGAGGGAACCAACAAGAGGGCAAAACATACTTTTACCTCATCCTTACCAATCTGCCAGCTGCAGTTGCTTCTGTCCATAATAGTATTGGTAAGAGTGACCATTGCACAGTCCTTGTGGAGATGAAGTCCCACCTTCACATTGAGAATAACCTCCATCGTGTTATGCCGCACAACATCACCGTGCTAAATGGGACAGACTTTGCACAGATCTAGCAACTCAAGATTTGGCATCCATATGGCGCTGTGAGCCATCAACAATTGTACTCCAGCATAATCTGTAACGTCATGGCCCGGCATATCCCCCACTCAACTGTTACCATCAAGCCAGGGAATCAACCCTGATTCAATGGAGAGTGCAGGAGGGCATGCCAGGAGCAGCACCAGGCGTACCTGAAGGTGAGGTATCAACCTGGTGAAGCCACCAAACAGGACTACTTGTACTCCAAACAGCGAAAGCAGCAAGTGCTAGACGGAGCTAAGCAATTCCACAACCAACAGATCAGATCTAAGCTCTGCATTCCTGCCAAATCCAGTTGTGAATGGTGATGGACAATTAAACAACTCACTGGAGGAGGAGGCTCCATAAATATCCCCATCCTCAATGATGGAAGAGCCCAACACATCGGTGCAAAAGATAAGGCTGAAGCATTCGCAGCAATCTTCAGCCAGAAGTGCCGAGTGGATGATCCATCTCGGCCTCCTCCAGTGGTCCCTGGCATTACAGATACCAGGCTTCAGCCAATTCGATTTGCTCCATGTGATATCAAGAAATGGTTGGAAGCACTGGATACTGCAAAGGCTATGGGCCCTGACAACATCCAAGCAATAGTACTGAAGACTTATGCTCCAGAACTTTCCACTCCCCTAGCCAAGCTGTTCCAGTACAGTTACAACGCTGGTATCTACCCGACAATGTGGAAAATTGCCCAAGTATGTCCTGTACACAAAAAAGCAGGACAAATCCAACCCGGCCAATTACCGCCCCATCAGTGTCGTCTTGATCATCAGTAAAGTGATGGAAGGTGTCAGCAACAGTGCTATCAAGTAGCACCTGCTCAGCAATAACCTGCTCAGTGACGCCCAGTTTAGATTCCTCCAAGGCCACTCAGCTCCTGACCTCATTACAGCCTTAGTTCAAACATGGACAAAAGAGCTGAATTCCAGAGGTGAAGTGAGAGTGACAGCCCTTGACATGAAGGCTGCATTTGACCGAGTGTGGCATCAAGGAGCCCTAGCAAAACTGGAATCAGTGGGTATCAGGGGGTAAACTCTCTGGTGGTTGGAGTCATACCTGGCACATAGGAAGATGGTCAAGGTTCTTGGAGGTCAATCATCTCAGCTCAAGGACATCCTCTGCAGGAGTTCCTCAGGGTAGTGTTCTTGGCCCAACCATCTTCAGCTGTTTTGTCAATGACCTTTCCTCCATCATAAAGTCAGAAGTGGAAATGTTCACTGATGTTTGCACAATGTTCCTTAGATACTGAAGCAGACAGTGTTCAAATGCAACAAGATCTGGACAATATCCAGACTTGGGCTGACAAGTGGCAAGTGACATTCGCGCCACACAAATGCCAGGTTATGACCATCGCCAACAAGAGACAATCTAACAACCACCCCTTGACATTCAATGATGTTAACATCACTGAATCCCCCACTATCAACGTCCTAGGGGTCACCATTGACCAGAAACTCAACTGGACTCACCACATTAACACAGTGGCTACAAGAGCAGGCCAGAAGCTGGGAATACTGTGGCGAGTAACTCCCCTTCTGACTCCTCAAAGCCTGTCCACCATTTACAAGGCACAAGTCAGGAGTGTGATGGAACACTCCCCACTTGCCTGGATGAGTGCAGCCCCAACAACACTCAAGAAGCTTGACACCATCCAGGACAAAGCAGCCTGCTTGATTGGCACTGCATCCACTCCCTCCACCACCAACGCTCAGTAGCAGCTGTGTGCACTATGTACAAGATGCACTGCAGAAATTTCACCAAAGATCCTCAGACAGCACCTTCCAAACCCATGACCACTTCCATCTAGAAGGGCAAGGGCAGCAGATACATGGAAACACCACCACCTCCAAGTTCCCCTCCAAGCCACTCACCATCCTGACTTGGAAATATATTGCCATTCCTTCACTGTCGCTGGATCAAAATCCTGGACTTCCCTCCCTAATGGCATTGTGGGTCAACCCACAGCAAGTGCACTGCAGCGGTTCAAGAAGGCAGCTCACCACCACGTCACGAGCAACTAGGAATGGGCAAGAAATGCTGCCCAGCCAGCGACGCCCACATCCCACAAATGAATAGAAAAAAAAACTCCTTGTAGCTTAGGTTCAAATATGAACAAAAGAGCTGACATCTGGGGGTGATGTGAGAATGACATCACCGTTTCATTTGACTGAATGTAACATCAAGCACCCCTAGCAAAACTCTGATCAGGGGAAGTTCTCCGTTAGATGGCGTGATCCCTGGCAGAAAGGAAGATGGTTACGGTTGCAGGATGTCAGTCATCTCAGCTCCAGGACATCTCTGCAGGGATTCCTCAGAGTAGGATCCTTTTGCCAAGCCAATCTTGGCTACTTTGTGAATGATTTTCTCTCCATCATAACCTTAGGAGTGGGAGTGTTTGCTGATGACTGCAAAATATTCAACACCATTCACGACTACTCAGATAGTGGAGCTGTCTGTGTTTAAATACAGCAAGGACCTGGATAACATCCATATTGGGTTGACAAGTGGCAAGAAACATTTGCACTACACCAGGCACATGACCATCTCCAACAAGAGAGAATGTAACCATCACCCCTTGCAGGAATCGTTTTTGTCACAACTTTCTTGGTAAGGACCAAAATAAAAAAGGCAGTCATAGTGGTGGTCAATTTAGAAAACATTGAGAGAGAACAATTTTTATTTTCCAGCAGTGTCTAGAGTAAACCTTATTTTATATCCCTTTAACACTACCCTATTCCCATTTGCCTGAATAGAATAAAATAACTTATCTTTGGAAAGGTTATAAACATTTTGATTTAAACAGTGCATAGTATTGCATGGATGTCAGAGTTCAGTTACTTTAATTGACAGTCTAACACCAGAACTATTAATCTGTAAACTGCAATCTTTTACAATTTCCCCACATCTCCTGCCCTATGCCAATCAGCTATATATTTTCTATAGGGAACTAAAGGAGTTTAAAGAAGGAGAGAAAAATGCTTCCTTGAAAGTGGTGGAATTCTCTCTGTAGAAGAGTGGAAATTTATAGGACTTTGTTAATTTTCTTTATTTTCACTGAAGTAAGCTCTGTGGAGGCCTAAGAAGACAGAATAATACAGATTCTGCACTTTATATATTGGGTAATTTGAAAGTGGGTTTTTGTACTTTCTTGGAAATCAACATATGTTTAAACCTATGGTGTGATATATGGTAGAACAAATGAGCTAATAATGCTTTTAATGTCTTTATTGTCTTTCATGAAAGGATCCTATTGCATTAAGCATTTAAAAATATCCTGTGAAATTACAACATTTTGCTTACTATTTTCCACAAAAGACTTGTAATCATGCATTTCAATGGTGTGTAAGTCTGTTTGAAAACTGAAATGTGTAAATATTCATTATCCTCTAACCAAATGAACTCACTAACTTCAATAGAAAATAAATGTGTCCTCTTGCCATCTTCTCTTTAGTTTAACAGTTCGTAATCGTGTAATGGTCAAACAATGAAAGCAAAGGAAAAGAGTTCCATTCTCCATACTTTAATTCTGGATTTCTTTATCCTGAAAATAGGCAGGTCTTCGTAAGGACATTAGTCAGCGTGCTGTTTCGATATGGTTCTCCAGAACATGCAGGTGGAATATGCTGTGAGCTAAGTCTGTTTGTGCAATTTTCCAGCCATGCGTGGTTGGCATTTGATACAAATATTCAAAGTCTATATAATGTGTGCATTAACATCATTATTTATCTTAAGAATGAACCATTGCAGAGATGGGCATATATTACAAAATCAGTATTTTGTTCTGTTTATGCCTCAAAGCAAGGATTTTACTGCAATTGTTAGTGGAACATAAGTGACTAAAGTATTTAATTTGTTTTTCTTTAATCTATTGTATACTTCTTGAATGCTATGATGCTTTGAGCCACTCTATCTTTTCGTATGGAGAGTTTTGCTTGAGTTTGATTATAGACAAACTTTTAAATTTTTAAATTGCTCTTTTAGGGCCAAGGATTGCTGCCTTATTTTGCTAACTTCCGTCTGATTGCAGAATTTTCAACTCCTTTTGTTAACCAGCGGTAGGTATATTTAGTTTTTATGTACAAACGGAGAGATGTAACCTGTAACAAGGGAGAGGAGCAAAGCAATAATTCTTCATTAATTCTTCACCTGCTTTTGAAATACATTTCAAAAGAAAGGCCTGGATTTTGTTGCTGAACATTTTGGAGTTTAATGCAATCTTTTAGCACTTTTTTTAGTGCGTAAGTCATTCAGAGATTCATGGCTAGGAAGACAGAGTCAATGAATTGAGAATGTTAATAAGTTGCCAGTTTTATTTGCTGTTCTGCCATTGGCCCCAGTACGGTGGATGGTGGGGAACGGTAAGTTTCAAGATATTGTTGCTTTTTTCGCATTTGTTAGCAATTGAACTTTTTTTATATTTACTCTTGGAAAGTGAGCATCACTGGCTCAGCCAGCATTCATTGCCTACCTCTCTGACCACCCTTGAGAAGGTGGTGATGAGCTGCCACCTTGAATCGCTGCAGACTTGGGGTGCAGGGATGCCCAAGGTGCTGCTGGGAACGGAGTTCCAGAATTTTTACCAGGTGACCATGAAGGAACTGTAACATAATTCTAAGTAGGAATGTGACTTGATATCAGATATCGTCATTTATGCTAACTTGGGTTTCATACATTGTTCTGATTAAATATATAGTTTTGTGCAGCTTTTTCATTGTGTTTCTCTCCTGTATCCCTCTATTTCTCCTCTCTGTAATGTTCTTGATAATATTAGTTCATTGTTCACGCAGTCTGACTGAGATGCCTCTTAAGTGTACCATATTTGACCAACCAATTGCCTGTGTGTTGTATTTTCCATGTTCTGCCCCTGTATTATTCCAGTCAACTGTTCAGTGATGTTAGTACACAACTCTGGAATGGGTGAGACTTGACTTGAACCTGGGCTTAACAGAGCAGGGATAGGGACGCTACCACCACTGTGTCACAAGAGTGCCCTAGTTCCTCAGGATAGATGTTATTACACACCTCCTCGAGCAGATGGGACTTGAACTTCCCCTCCTGGTCCAGGGGTAGTAATACTACCTCAGTGCCACAAGAGGGCACTAGTTCCTGTGAATAATGTCTTTGTGCCAACAAGGTTCATCCCTTTCATCAATGACCTATCTGTTAGGAAGTCAGGAACAATCTTCCACTTTTGTGTACGTGTGGTGCCCAATCTGTTCATTTGAAATGGTAGTACCGTTAAATTTTTCTTTGTTTGACTTCATGGGGACAGCTTGTGATTGGACTGTGTATTTCTTTTCATGTCACTATGTCACTTCGCATGCAGCTTACATGGACCATTGGCTAGGAATGAGGCGGTTTGCTGATGATTCCACAGTGTTCATCCCCATGAACAGCATTCTGGTAATGAAACCTGCTGGAATCTGGATGACATTGAGTTGTGGGCTGACCTAGCCAAAGAATGACCATTTCCACTTCACTTTTCAATGGTATCACTATCATTGGATCACGACCTGTGATCTAGTACCTGTGTAACTAGAAGCACATTGGACTAGCACAACAATGCTGTGACAACAAGGTCAGAGTAGCAGCTAGTTAACTAGCAATGAGTGACCCCCCTGAATCTTCAAAACTTCAACATCTATAATCTAATCAGAAATGTGATAGAGTACTTGATTAATTGTGTAGCTTCAATGATGTTTTGGAAGCTTGTTATCTAAGAGAAAAGCTAGCTTCCTTTTGGCCTTTGCTGTTCTCAATATTCACCACTTTATATCACAAGAATGCTTTAGCTGCAGTCTATAGGATACATTGCAAAATGCATCAGATCAACTGTGAGCCTTCTGAATGGGAGAGCATGCCTGAGTGGTGGAATGGACTACTCCTGTTGCTATTTCTTAAAGTCTTAATTCAGCCCATTTTGTAACTTCTACCATTTGAGAAGGAGCAAACCTGAAAAAATTGGGAACAGCATCTCCACTTTGAAGTTAGTTCATTATTGTGTAAATTATTCTCTCAGCCCCTGCATAATATCATTGTTGGTGCACCATCGCTACAATGACCACAGCAGAAAACGGTGAAAGTTTGCTGGTAAACAGGGAAGGGTGAATCAAAGAGTGAAGGCAAAAGCAGGAAAATAACTTTTAAAAATAAAATCGGTGATCTTTTTTATTTCCAAGGAGCAGGTCCACCTGCGCGTATTCATTTACTTTAGTTCCCTACTTTCATTGTTTGTAGTCTTTCATCACAATATTACGTGTAGTGACAAGAAAAGTGAAGGTCAGATAATGATCTGACTAGATCCATCTTTATCAATTTTGAAGGATTCGAGGAATCCATTGTTAATAGGAAATTGCTTATACATCTGAATTGCTTGAACTTGTTCTTTGAGTTCCAATTTGACTTGGTAGCAAATTAGTCAGTATGATTCACAATCGCATGGTCAAAATATAGAGTAACTTCTACATTTCCAGCAAAACATTATGGCAATGTTCCTGAATATTCCTCATCCTCAAACTCATACTGGTCTTGGATAAAGAAGGAAAGAAAACATTTCATTTATACTGTGCATTTCATGACAACTGAAATCCTCAAGTGCTTTACATCCAATGAAATAATTTTGAAGTGTAGCCACTTTTTACAAATTCATTCACGTAATGAGGGCATCGCTGGCTAGGCCAACATTTATTGTTCATCCCAGAGGACAGTTAAGAGTCAACCACATTGCTATGGTCTCAAGTTACATATAGTCCAAACCAGGTAAGAATGGCAGTTTTCTTCCCTAAAGGACATTAGTGAACCAGATACATTTTTCCTGACAATCATCAGTGGTTTCATGGTCATCATTAGACAGATTTTCCAGATTTTCATTTTGCCATGGTGTGATTTGAACTCAGGTCCCCAGGACATTATCTGGGTCTCTGGAATTACAGTCCGGCAATAATACTACTAGGCCATTGCCTCCCCTGTTGAAATGTAGGAAATGTGACAACCAACTTGTGCAGAGCAAGCTCCTACAAACAATAATGTGATGATGACTGGATAACTTATTCCTTGGCAAACATTTGTATCGGTCAAGAGATCAGGGGTAACTCCTTGCTCCTCTTCAATGTAAGCAAATGTGCCAAATGCCACCTTCATCGTTCTGTCTACCTGCATCCTCAAGTCTCTTTGTTCGGCATCACTCCCCAGGGCCGTGCCATTAACTGCATATGTCCTGCCCTGGTTTGCCTTACCAAAATGCAACAGCTCACATTTATCTAAATTAAACTCCATTTGCCGCTCCTTGGCTTATTGGCCCATCTGATCAAGGTCCCGTTGTACTCTGTGATAACCTCCTTCTTCATTGTCTACTATGCCACCTATTTTGGTGTCATCTGTAAACTTACTGACCATGCCTCTTGTATTCACATCCAAATCATTTAGATAAATAATGAAAATCAATGGACCCAGCACCGATCCTTGTGGCACATCATTAGTCACAGGCCTCCAGTCCAAAAAACCCACCACCATCACCTTCTGTCCCCTCCCTTCAAGCAAATTTTGTATCCAACAGGCTAGCTTCCCCTGGATCCCATTTAATCTAACCTTATTAACAAGTCTATAATGCTTTGCTGAAGTCCATATAGACAACGTCTACTGCTCTGCCTTCATCAACCTTTGTTGTCACATCTTCAAAAACTCAATCAAGTTCGTGAGACACCATTTTCCATGTGCAAAGCCATGCTGACTATCCCCAATCAGTCCTTGCCTTTCCAAATGCACATAAATCCTGTCCTTCAGAATCCTCTCCAATAACTAACCCACCACTGATGTCAGGCTCACTGGCCTATCTTTACCTAGTATTTCCTTACTTGCCTTTCTTAATAATAGCACCACATTAGCCAACCTCCACTCTTCTGATACCTCACCCGTGGCTATCGATGATACATATATGTCAGCAAGAGCCCAGCAGTCTCTTCCCTAGCGTCCCATAATGTTCTGGGAAACACCTGATCATGTCCCCATTCTTGTATTGTCCTAGTGACTGCAAGATGAAAAGTTTGAGTAAAGTTTTCTTCATCGATATTTCTTTTTGTTCACTCTGCCCCTATGCATAAGCCCAAGATCCTTCTTATGGCTTCTGAACTTGCCCACGCCACCATGAAGATTTATGTCCGTATGTTCTCAGGTATTTCTTTCCTGTAGCCCTTTTAGAATTATACTGATTTTATATTCAGAGTTGTTCTACTTCACATTTCTTTGCATTAAATCGGCCACATGTCCCCCCACCCCCACCCCACCTTTCTACCAGCTCCTGTCCTTTGGAAGTCTATCACCATCTTCTCCATATTTGACAATACTGGCAAGGTTTATCATCTACAAATTTTGAAATTGCTCCTGAACAGTAAGGTAGTATAGATTGAGAAAAGCAGGACTTTTACTACCATTCCTACTACAATATAATCTTCATCTGGGCCAAAAAAACCATTTACTATTACTGATGCCTATCACTGATCTGTTTTGTACCCATTCTGTCATCTTTCCTTTTAAGTTCATCTGGTTGGGCTTTATTAAGCGATGTTATGTGGCATTTTATCAAACACCTTTTTGAAGTCCATGTACACCAACACCACTCTCATCAACTCCAATAACTCAACAAAAAGGTTAAATATGACCTGCCGTTAATAAATCAATGCTGATATCCTTTAAAATCTGTCCAAGTGACAGTTAATTTTGTCCCAGATTATCATTCTAAAAGCTCTCACATTTGAAGTTAATTAACTAGCCAAAGATTTAGAGATTATCCATACACACTTTGCAGTTGCAATTTACTTGTCCTCTGGCCCCATTCCTACATGCAAGAACGATTTGAAGATAACGGCTCATACATCCACAATTTTCCTTCTTATTTCCCTTAGTATACTTAGATGCCATCTCATTTAGCCCTGCTGACGTACCCAGTTTGAGTATAGCCAGCATACCCAAGCCTAAATGATTAAGAGTTCAAGAAAAGAAGTGTAGACTTATAGGAAATAGTCAGATTCTTATTTGGAGTCCAATTATCTTTCTCACTTCCCCATTGAACTATATTAAATCAAAATATTGTCTTGGCATTAAAATTCAAGAAACATATTCTGCGATTATGTTTCCAGACAGAAATCATGTGCTATGATTTAAGCCTCCAGATCCTCTGGTTCTGATCTTAATGGTTCAAGCTCAGCTTGTGATTAAATTATATTCAGCTGTAGTTGACAAGCTTCCATTCAACACATATTTGCAAAGGACTAACCATCATTAATAGATATTATTAATATTATTATTTTATTTATTATTTTATAACCTGAATGAAGTACATAACGAAGTAAATGAATTCAGGTGAAGCATAAGGAAAGTGTAGGCACTATGGTCTCACACTTGGTGTCTAGATAATCCTAGGAAGTTGAGTTTATTGCTATAGTTTCCCAACCTTACACTTTAAATTCCACCATCCGATCCTAATAGGACAGGATAGCAGGTCATATGGCTCTAGAGATATCAGACAATTGTTGTTGGCTATGAAATGGATTGCTCAATGAGATCATCAGGAGAAAAAGAAAAATTAAATATTGTCACAGTGATTCAATTAACTTTTCTTCTAGTAGAATTAAGCTAAACCAGTCACTGGATGGGAAGTGTAACTGCAGCACTGGGCTTACTAAAGTCCTGCGTTTCTGTTAACAAATCCTACATATTAGTAGATTGCGTATGCTTCTGCTTGTGCTGAGTCTTGAATGTTTGGTTCATTATTCAAGATGTTCTGGAATTGCTAGTAATAGTACTGGAGCAGGGATGGCTTGCTGCAATTATACAGGCCTCTGGTGAGACCAAATTTGGAATATTGTGTACAGCTTTGGTCTCCACGTCTGAGGAAGGATGCTTTTGCTACAGAGGGAGTTCAGCAAGGGTTTACCAGACTGGCATCTGGCCTACTGGGACTGACCTATGAGGAGACATTGAATTGATAAAAGATTATGTTCAGTGGAGTACAGAAGAATGAGGAGAGAATCTTTGTAGAAACGTGTAAAATTCTAACAGGACTAGACGGGATAAACACAGGAAGGATATTCCTGATGGTGGGGAGTCCAGAAACAGGAGTCACAGTCTAAGGATACAGGGGTAAACAATTTAGGACTTAGATGAGAAGACATTTCTCTGGCCAGAGAGTGGTGAGCTTTGGAATACAGCTGGGAACAAGCTATTGAGTTGGATGGTCAGCCATGATTATAATGGTGGAGCAGGCTCGAAGCTAAATGATGTACTCCCAGTTTCTATATTTCCATTCCCAAACTATACTTTCCATGCTATTTTTAGAATTCTGTCCTAGCTGGTGGTATCCAAAATCTTGCATGTAAATATTTGAAACCGGCATTGTCGAACATGCATTTCTGGCTGGTAATCCAGCAGTGTTTCCAGCCGCCAACAAAATCAACAGTATGAGGACTCTACCTTTCTTTCAATGCCATGCTTTTTTATATTTTTACACTTTTAAGAGTTCTGACTTCTGACATGATTGGTGGAGGAAGGTTGGAAAAGGCAGGACAACCTTGGTACTTTGATGAATCAATCTTGGTCATCAGAGTTGTCACTGTAGTGATTGGAATGAGGTCAGCCAGAAGGACCTAATGGAATGATTTCAAAAACAGAAGTTGCTGGAAAATCTCAGCAGGTCTGGCAGTGTCTGTGAAGAAAAATCAGAGTTAACGTTTCAGGTCTGGTGACCCTTCCTCGGAACTGATGGTAGCTAGGAAAATGTCAGTTTACATGCAGAAGATAGAGTGGGGGCAAGAGGATAAGAAGTAAATGATAGGTAGGGATAGAGCCCAAACAGAGATAACAGCAGTTGGATAGACAAAAGAGTTGATAACTATTTGGCTAGGAGGATGAATAACTGTTAATGGGGACTGGCAGTGGCTAACAATATGTAGTGTGTAATGGCAAACAATGGGACAACAAGGCCTGGTGTGTGGGCTTGGGGACTAGGACATGGGAGAGTTTAAGCCCCAAAATTATTGAACCCGATGTTGAGTCTGGAGGGGTACAGGGTCTCCAAGTGGAAACTGAGGTGGTGTTCTTCCAGCTTGCGCTGAGCTTCGCTGGAACACTGCAGCAAGCCTGAGACCGAGATGTTGGCCAGGGAGCAGGGTAGTGTGTTGAAGTGGCAGGCAACTGGAAGCTCAGGGTCTTTTTTGCGAGCAGAACGTAGATGTTCTGTGAAGTGGTCACGCAGTCTATGCTTCGTTTCCCCAATATAGCAGAGACTATATCGTGAGACATTTTAGAGGCTGCCTTACTCCAGGACACCCAGATCTGCTCTTTCTTCACTCCCAACACCAGCCCCTGCAACCACTGAAGGTGTAACATCTGCCCATTTACTTCCTCCCTTCCCAGTATCCAAGGGCCCAATCATACCTGCAACACTTTACCTGCACTTCATTCAATCTAGTGTACTGTATTCACTGCTCACAACATGGTCTCCTCTACTTTGGGAAAACGAAGTGTAGACTGGGTGAGTGCTTTGGAGAACATCTACGTTCTGCCCTTGGGGGAAAAAAAAAAGTCCTGAGCTTCCAGTTGCCTGCCACTTCAACATACCACCCTGTTGCCTGGCCAACGTCTGTGTCTTAGGCTTGCTGCAGTGTTCCAGTGAAGCTCAACGCAAGCTGGAAGATCAACACTTCATTTTCAGCTTGGGGACCCTACAGCCCTCCAGACTCAATATTGAGTTCAATAATTTTAGAGCCTGAACTCTCCCATGTCCTAGCTCCCTACCCCACACACCAGGCCTTGTTATCACATAGTCTGCATTACTTATTACCTATTGTTAGCCACTAACAGTTATTCATCCTCCTAGCCAGATCATTACCAACTCCTTTGTCTATCACTGCACTTCTCTCTCTTTGGGCTCTATCCCTACTTTATTGTTTGTTTATTTCTTACCCCCTCCCTATCTTCTGCATTTAAACTGACATTTTCCTAGATACCATCAGTTCTGAGGAAGAGTCACCGGACCCTGAAACGTTAACTCAGATTTTTTTTTTCTTCACAGATGCTGCCAGACCTGCTGAGCTTTTCCAGCAACTTCTGTTTTTGTTCCCAATTTATAGCATCTACAATTCTTTTGGTTTTTATCTAATAGAATGAGTTCCCTGATTGGACCAGAATAACAGCCCCAATCAGGCACTCCTGGCTGACAGATATAAACAGAAGTGTCAGGGGTTCTGGTCACCCTCTAGGAGCTGGCTTTGAGCTAGCGGGCTCAGTGTCGTGTAACTATGCATGTGTACATAAAGGGTGACTTAGCGTCACTGAGATGCACAGCACAGAAACAGACCTTTCGGTCCAACTCCTTGCTGACCCGATATCCCAAATTAATCTAGTCCCATATGCCAGCAATTTGTCCATATCGCTCTAAACCCTTCTTATTCATATATCCATCCAGATACCTTTTTAATGTTGTACTTGTCCAGCCTCCACCACCACCTCTGGCAGCTTATTGCATACGTGCACTATCCTCTGTGTGGAGAAAGTTACCCCTCAGGTCATTTTTAAATCTTGCCCCTCTCACCTTAAAGCTGTGCCCTCTAGTTTTGGACCCCCCTACCCTCGGTGGGGGGGGGGGGGGAAGACCTTGGCTATTCACCCAATCCATGCCCCCATAATTATATAAACCTCTATAAGGTCACCCCTCAGCCTCTGACCCTCCAAAGAAAATAGCCCCTGCCGATTCAGCCTGTATAGCTCAAACCCTCCAACTCTGGCAACATCCTTGTAAATCTATTTTTCTGAACCCTTTCAAGTTTCTGGTGACAGGCTACTGGCCTTCGTGGAGTTATTTCAGCCACGTAAACTGGTTGTCAATTTATGTTTAAATTGCCATGGATTAGAATGCATGTGCATAGATGGTATTCACATTGTGGTGTTGCTTTGGAAGTGTTACTGATCATTTACCTTTTCTTTTCAGGTGGTTTTTTGAAGCATTAAGTTATCCAAAAACTTCCTTGCCAAACATTATTAATGGGTTTCTAATGACAGTGATATTCTTTCTGGTCAGAATTGCTGTCATGCCTCCGTACTATAGCAAAATGATTTCCACGTTTGGAACAGAGGCCTTTTACAAGCTTGGACTGCGAGCACAATTTGCTTGGATTGCTGCCAGCCTTTGCTTAGATGTTATGAATATAATGTGGATGTACAAGATTGGAAGGGGGTGCTACAAAGTCTTGCTTGCCTGCAAGAAGCAGCAAGCAGACATTCAGAAAAATGGAAAACAACGGTAGAGATGTGCTTTGCTTGTTGTAAATTTATTTTTAAATTTTGAGAGCATTCGTGATGGTGTTTTGTACACAACAGTGGAACTGTAGTTACAAGCTAACAGTGTACTGTATCACTAAAGATCTGTTTAACCAAATGAAGATGACCATTGAATTTTGGAACTTATAAGTCTACAACATTTACAGTTTTGCAACAATACAATATCTAAATGATAAATGCACCGAATAACATGAATAATGCTTATTCATACATATACAAGTAGAAGCCCTCAAACTGCATGCGGGTTAAATCCAACTCTGAGGAATTTACATTTTAGGTTTGCACTTTTATTTTGGAACACAGTGCTTTGAATGCCACAAGCAATTGTACACCTGCATCAAGATCTTTCATTGCCATGGAGGAAATTATTGATAGATTACTTGCTCATCTGAACTGTGAACAACAAATTCCTCTTCACTGAAAACTAGCAAGAATAACTTGCATTTATAAAGTGCCTTTGAAACAGGAAGAAATCCCAAGGAAGACAGACATGTTGAAAACAGTCAGTCCTTTAGGTTTGGACGATCACTCTTTATTTGCATGCATAAGTGGCTCAAATACATAACTTATTTTTTAAAATAGACTAATATTAAGATGTTTCATTAAGATGTCATCATATGGTGTGTCATCTGGTTGAATTTATGGTATTAAAAAGGTTGCCTAACCTTTGCTATCTTAGGAATTATTAACCCACTAGGCATGTAGTTGACAGGAAATTTGTTTCTGTTGAATCTAAAAATATATTTATGCAGAATACATTCAGAATACCTGCAGCAAGTAATCAGTACTGTGTGACTTTATAATTTAATCTTGTACAATCATTAGTGAAGTGATTGCAAATAGCTACTTGTCACAGCTTTGAATTTTGATTGAGTAATTTTAATTGGTAAATCTACATGTGTAGATATATTCTGTATTATGTAGTAGCATGTAATAGCCATAAAGATCTTAATTCCTCTTGAGATGGATGAAACTATACGGTTTGCATTTTTAAAAAAAAAGTCTAGCAATAATGGCCAATGTATGGTTTTTGTCAGTTCCCTTAATGCCATCATTTGTGTTGACCAACACTCCTTAATTAAATCATTACTTCAAAGTCCTCCAACATAATATTATTTCTGAGTTCACAATGCAGAATTGATTTTGAAGTGTTCTCTGTAATGCTGCTTCAATGTGTAAGCTAATTGTAACTTTACAGGCTTTTTGTGGTATGATGATTTTTTCATTAGCTCATAAAGACATGGAAAATTGGCTAATTGAACTGTCTACCACAATAGTAGATCTCTTGATGTCAGAAACTCATCTGTGAACATTGTGGAACCTGATGGTATGACTTATTTAAGTTTAATTATTTAAGACGTTCTGTGGAGAAAGTTGGATAAAATTGAAATATATTACTATATTAAGTGCCTATCTGAATTGAACATGTCTTTAACATTATGCTTGATTTAGATGTCAAGTTGGAAAAATTTTAACAACAGAGTCAAGTGAACAGGTCAACATTTTACGAGTCTTGGTATGCTTTAACACCCCTGAATTGAACGACCAATTAGTCACATGGGTAGATAACATTTATGGAATTGTGTATTTGTATTTTGTGATTTTGCATGCATATCAATTGTTACATTAGGCTTTATGATTGTATATGAAGTACTTAAGTACTCAAGCTAAAAATATTGTACTTATCTCTGAATGTTCTACTTTTATCGAAAGCAAATTTTAGATGAATTGTTCAAGCCTATTCATTTTGCTTCAGCATCTATACAACAATCCAAATTAACTTGTATGACCTGCATCTTTTAAACTGTTCATTTTTTTTAAAGAAATAACCAACTATCTTAATTTTTTTTCTCCCTACACATCCAATTATTTAGTCTATTTGCATTTAGGATAAGTGCAGTTTTCACCATTTATCTAAGCCAGTTGGAGGGAAAAATCATCTTAACATTTACTATTATTAAAGTATTGCAGTGTCATTTATTTAAATCAATTAATTCCTCCAAGTGTTAAGATGAGAAGATGTCTTTAAAAATAAAATTTTAATTTATATCAGAATATCAATGTGGAATGCAGATAAAACTGAGTTTTGCAAAATACTGATACATCGCCTCAAATAGTTGAAAGCACTATTTTATTTTTCATTTAACCTATTTTTCTAATCAACCTATTCAGTGATATTATTACACACCTCTGGAGCAGGTGGGATATGAACCCAGGCCTCTCAGTCCAGGGGTAGGTACCCTACTTTTGCACCACAAGAGCCCCTCTGATGCTTCTGCCTGGTTCTGAACCAAGGCCTTTTGCATGTGAAACGAATGCGATAACCACTAGACCACAGAAATGGTACACGATTGAAAGTGTTAAAGATGTACTGTCATTTGAAACAGCCAAGCAACAATTAGATTCATTAAATGCAAGTACCTGCTATTCCACGTGTGTAATTTTAACTATCTTTGTATTTTAAGAGTGCATGCCACCACCATGGTCGTGTTTTCCAAAAAGTTGTAAACTTAAATTATTTTTATTTTAATCATAATAACATGAGTAAAATACTTGGTTTAGAAGGCCATTTCAATTATTTATACCAAAATAACACAGTCTATTCATAGCAAAGCTAATACATTTTAATCAAGATCGAACAGTATGAGGTTTTCCTATACTGCATGTATATGTTAGCATAAGTATGTGTCAAATTAATCAGGGATTTTTAGGTACCATAATCAATATCCTATTTTGAGGTTAATTATTTGAAATATCTGAGAAATAACATCGCTTATGGTAATTTTAAAAGTTGTAGATAAAAATGAGAAACTTGAGCATGGGCAAAACCGATCATCTCGTCATGTTTTGATTTTATGTTACTTTATGCCTATAGTTTTATGGTAGTCTTAGTTATGGACATAAAAGGGTTAAATTAATCTTCAGAAATGGCCAGTTCACAGTCCATCCATTTTATGATGCTACTGATTTTAAATTAGTACTGATACAAGAAGATCCAGGGGTTTCTTGAAACAATTGATACTTGCTGAAGTACAGTAAAAACTGGTGTAGCATTAATCTATAAGCCTATAAATAATAGATTTGATTCTTATTCATTAATCCCAACTAGCAGCTGGGTTTTTAGAATTGTTTGGAACACCTCTCCTCAGTGAGAGAGGAGAAAATATTTAAGAGTTCCAACTCCTAACTGCTTTCGGCTACTGACTTGTCGTATTTAGGGAAACCAGTATTGCAATTGATTGTAATGTCCTCTGTCAAGTAGCCGGTTGAGATTTGCTGTCTTAAGCTTGTGCAGCCAGCCGCAAAATGTTAACTCTGATTTTTCTTCATAGATACTGCCAGACCTGCTGAGCTTCTCCAGAAACTTCTGTTTTTGTTCTAGCAGCAATTAAGGTTTGGAACTGTTACTTGTTTTCCCATCCCTCACTGAGGGGAGAGGCACTGTAAACGATTCTGACCACCCAGTTGCTGCACATGGCTGGGATTAATCCAAACACTGATTTAATGTTATACCATGGTTAGTGAACAGTTGGAATTGGTGTGAAGTACTAGGTGCTACTTTTACTATTTATAAATGTACCTTGCTAAGAATCATCTTCATTAAACAGATAATTGTTTATAAACAAGTTGCATGTTAGTTACATTAATGGCTTAATAAAATAATTATTATGCTTCAAGTAGATTTTATGAATTTTTGAAACTATTAATGTTTTCTAATAAAGTATGTAGTTAGCTTGTCTGTGAGATGTTACAGATATTGTCATGTATGTTACTTAGACATATTTTTATTTGGAGCAATATTTTATTTCATATATATTATTTAGCCTTAAATATAACTGATTCAACTTTACTGGGAAAATATTTTAGGAGGACTATTGTAGGCATATGTCTTTTTTATTTACTTTTTACCTTTCAATACCGTATAAATGTTTTGTCCATGAACCTGAGGATTGTTTCTTTGTGAATTGTTTTTAAGTGCTCAGTAACTTAAAATTTCTCAATGGCTTATTTATAAAACATAGGATATTGTGAAGGAGAGGAGAATTAAAATTATATTGAGTTCCCAACAAGATTGTCCATAGTTTTTACACTGGTCAAATGTTTAGAAGGATTCTGAGGGAAAATTGATTTAGTGAGGGCAAGACTGCCTGCAGTGCACATTTGTGGTTTGGTTACATGCAGAATTTTGAATAGTTTCATAATATTAAATCAAAACAATTGATTCATTTTGTTTGCTACTTTAGAACCACAGCAATTTGGTAAAAATGTTTTCATATCATTTTATAGCGTTTGTAAAGAGAAACGAGCCACAAAACACAGATTTAAGTTGCTGTGGTTGGTTCGCTCATTGAACTGGTTCGTCAGTTCGTTAGTTACTTCATTGGAGGCTGCACTGATGATGTTACCCAGCAGGGTAACGAAACGTCTGTGAACCAATGGACCAGCTCGGTGAGCGAACCAGCCACAGCATCAACAATTCGAGCTACAAATCTACTCAAGAACCTTAGACAGATTTAAGTTAAAGTTCAAAAGGGAGATAAAAAGAACAAAACCCAAATTACAAATGGAAATGACCTGCCTGGCAATGTGATAAAGGTGGATATGGTAGCAACTTTCAAAAGGAAATTGGATGAACACTTTAAGAACTAACATTTACAGAGCAAAGGAGAAAATGTTAGGAAATGGGATTGATTAGATCCCTCTTTCAAAGAGTCAGTACAAGGCACAATGTGCTATGTCATGTTCCTCATTTAAAGGTTTTATATTTTTTAAAGGTTTTATATTGATAATCAGATGTTTCATAATTATGAAATACAGGTTGAAGTCATTGGCATACAAATATCACTCTCTAATTTTACATTTCTTGTGCTTAACTCTATGTATGCAATTAAAGCTTTTTGATGCTATGTTAATCATGCTTGCAATTTTTAAAATTAAATGTATTCCACAATGTTTGGACGTAAAAAGGCTTTTGCTAAGAAACTCCAACGATTTTCTGAAAGATCATATTCTAAATGACAATAAAGCATGTGTTCTGATCATTGATTTTGCTGAAGTGTACTTTGGCTTTCTATAAATTAGTTTGTCCTGTCCTCAGTCTTGTCATTCCTAGTTTACATTCTTCCATACGAGAGTATGGATAGAGAATGAACAGGATCAAGGGAAGGAAATGTCTAATTCTGGTCTTTGACCTGACATTCATGCATGCAAACTAGCAAAGGTGTGTGTACAGGGGCAGAGGGGTTTGAAGGGTAGAGAAAAGGCGTGTTATTGTATTTTCTGACCAGTCCATGGCAGCAGGCCACTGTTAACATTGTCCAGAATCAACATTCAAATTTGGAACATAGCTCAATGCAGCTTCTCAAAGGATAGTACCCTAACCTATGAGCAATGGCTTACTCCTTTTGTGTTCTCATCACAAGTATTTATACATTGTACACTTACAGCATACTGTGTGTAAATCACCACAAGCTACCTTTAATTTAGCTACTTATTAATAAAAATCTCTCAAACCATCAAGTACTGAAACAACGATTTAAAATTTTATTGCATGTAGCAACCAAAATAAGACCCTTCAAGTAAACAAGTTAAGTCTCACAACTCAACTTGGCTGTTACCTGATTGTTGGTTGGAATCATGGCTAAATTCTACCATTAGTGTCCGTCTCTGGAAGTGTCCAGGTTTCAGTACTTGTACAGTGTTGTTCAAAGTTCTGCTGCTGAAGATTCCTGAAGTTGAATTCTTATACAATTTTCTCTCTTTCAAACCACCAAGTTTGTGGTGTGACATTAATAATGATCCTCTAGATTAGTTCATCCCCGAAGTTGATTACACTTTGGAGTGCCCAAGTCTATAGCTTTCCTTCTTATCAGAAGTTGCTCCCCAGTACCTTGTTACATTTAATGTTACCTGTCTGTTTGAAACAGCCTGTCCTTCAGTTTACCCCTTAAGGACAGTCCAAGTCCTTGGGACTGTGTCCTCGGCCCAAAGACTTCCAGCTGCATCATCACTGACCTTTCTTCACTGCTGCCCTGTTGCAATGCTCATTGATGATTGCACGGTAATTACATTTGGAAGCCGTCTGTGCTTGCATACAGCTAGACCTGTTCAACATTCAGTCTGTGGCTGATAAATAGTAAGTAACGTTTTGCTTCAGAACCACTAAGTCATGATTGTTTCCAGGAGAGTCTGAACAGCTGTCCGCTAGCGTCTCAATGACTTGATTCCTGTTGAATTCCCCCACAATCAATATCCTGAGAGATTACCATTGAACAGCCACTTTAACTGATGTGATTGGAGAAATAATCTATAAATGTTTGTCAGAGGCTGAGTATTCTGATTTTTGTGACACCATCTGAGTCACCAACAGCATATTGCCAATCTATCAAACATACCCAGGCTATAAAAGGTTCCAGATAGTCAAATACAATAAACTTCTGTTCCTCAGTATTGGATTTTGGAAAGGCAATGTGATGGTTCATGAGAGATTGTGATTAAAATTGGAGATGGGTGGTGTCAGCATTCAAGTGAAATATGACTTGTGTTTTCAAAGTATTCTGTCAAAAGTCAATAGGAGCTTTGACAGGACGGAACTTAGGACCGATCCTTAGACCAATTCCAGGAGTAATAGTGTGGGAGTGGGAAGGCATTGTAAATAATTGTCTGTTCCAAATGAATAGATTTGAATGGAATTAGATGAGGCCAAGGGAGGCGTATTGTGTGGTCAACTATGTCAAAGGTTGGAGATCGGTCTGAAAGGATAAACAGGGATGGTATTTTGGGATGGTTGGTACTGGAGACCAGCCACCTTCATAACATTGATGATGTTACCACATACATAGTGATGTCTTGCCATTCAGGGATTTTGTGCTGTTGGAGACACATGGTGAAGACATTGGAGTAAAGTCATGGAATCATAGAAATGTACAGCATGGAAATAGACCCTTTGGTCCAAATTGTCCATGCTGACCAGATATTCTAAATTAATCTAGTCCCATTTGCCAGCATTTGGCCCATATACCTATAAACCCTTCCTATTCATAAATGCATCCAGCTGCCTTTTAAATGTTATAACTGTACCAGCCTCCACCACTTCCTCTGGCAGCTTATTCCATACACGCACCACCCTCTGTGTGAATAAGCTGCCTTTTAAGTAAGTCCCTTTGAAATCTTTCCCCTCTCACCTTAAATCTCTGCCCTTTAGTTTTGGACTCCCGCCACCTGAGGGAAAAGACCTTGGTTACCCTATCCATGTCCCTCATGATTTTATAAACCTCTATAAGGTGAACCCTCAGCTTCCGACACTCCAGGTAAAATAGCCCCAGTCTATTCAACCCCTCCTTATAGCTCAAACACTCCAGCCCTGGGCAACATTCTTGTAAATCTTTTCTAAACCTTTTCAAGTTTCACAACATCTTTCCTATAGTAGGGAGACCAGAATTGAATGCAGTATTCTAAAAGTGGCCTAACCAATATCCTGTACAGCCGCAACATGACCTCCCAACTCCTACACTCAATGTACTTACTAATAAAAACAAGTGTAGCAATTGCTTTCTTCGCTATTTTGGCTACCTGTGACTCCACTTTCAAGGAACTATGAAACTGCGCTGCAAGGTCTCTTTGTTCAACAACACTCAACAGTCCTGGTGTTTGCATCCCTGTCACATTTAGGTTACTGCCAGAGGAGCGTGGAGTGTGAGGAAAAGGTGGATGGAACAGAAGTGAGAGTTCAAGGCTAGATTCATATCCATGTAGATAAAAGGTGCGTGCATGTCGTTTGGGATTTGAATCATCATAGAATCCTTACAGAGTGGGGACAGGCCCTTCGGGTCCACACCGAAGAACCATCCCCATCCACCTACTCTTTCCCTGTAAGCCTGCATTTCCCAGGGCTAACACACCTAATCTACAGGCCCCTGAACACTATAGGCAATTTAGCACCTAACTTGCACATCTTTGGACTGTAGGAGGAAACTGGAGCACCCAGCGGAAACCCACAGAGATACTGGGAGAACATGCAAACTCAATACAGACTGTCACCCAAGGGTGGAATTGAACCTGGGTCCCTGGTGCTGTGAGGCAGCAGTGCTAACCACTGAGCCACCGTGCTGCCCACTGTGGATTTTAAAATAGAGGCAGGTGGATTTTGGTTAGTTTGATAAAGAAGTTTTGGCCTTTTAAACAAAAATCGTTTAGAACAGTGACTGAAATTCACAATTTCCAAGAAGGCATATGACTTCAATCAAGTGTCTGGAAGGATACCTGTGGTGTTAATGGACTAAAAGTTTATAATGCTAAGTTTACAAATAGACCAGATTATTAGTTTAGCTTTTGATTTCAGTTCAAAAGCTCAGTTCAGGGCAACCAGTCATCCTAACAACTGTTTTTAATCCATGGAGTCTCCCTGTTGTGAGACTACATAGAAGTGTTTCAGGTCACTAGAATTGAAGAAGATTCATGGCACAGACTTAGAAATAAGTCATAAAACTGTCTCAGTGCCCGAAGGAAAAGAAGTTGGGAAGAGTTAGTGAAGTGAAAAGTTAGGGTTGAGATAACAATTAATTGTCTGGAATTGAGTATCTGTAAAAAGATTGCTTTGAGAAAAGGGGTTGAAACATTGTTTTGCTGTTTAAGATCTTTCTGTCTTAAATATAGAGCATTTTTATCATTTGTGTAATAAACTTCTGTTAAGGAATGTGATTGTTTCAGTGGCTAACTACTACATTAACTAACTGCAAAAAAAACTCCAAATAATCTATCAATACAATATGAAACTTGAAGAACAGCAGGCCAGCCAGCATCAGAGGAGCAGAAAGTTGACGTTTCAGGTCAGGACCCTTCTCCAGCATTTGCAGTTCTTGCTATCTCCAAATAATCTATCAAGCCTTATTTCATTCAGAGATAGTAGGAACTGCAGATGCTGGAGAATCCGAGACAACAAGGTGCAGGGCTGGATGAACACAGCAGGCCAAGCAGCATCATAGGAGCAGAGAGGCTGACGTTTCGGGCCTAGACCCTTCATCAGAAAAGGGGGAGGGGAAGGGGGTTTTGAAATAAATAGGGAGAGAGTGGGAGGCGGATAGAAGAGGGATAGAGGAGAGGATAGGTGGAGAGGAAACAAACAGGTCGAAGAGGCGGGGATGGGGCCAGGAAAGGTGAGTGTAGGTAGGGAGTTAGGAAGGGGATAGGTCAGTCCAGGGAGGACGGACAGGTCAAGGGGGCGGGATGAGGTTGGTCGGTAGGAGATGGAGGTGCGGCTTGGGGTGGGAGGAGGGGATAGGTGGGAGGAAGAACAGGTTAGGGAGGCAGGGACGAGTTGGACTGGTTTTGGGATGCGGTGGGGGGAGGGGAGATTTTGAAACTTGTGAAATCCACATTGATACCATTGGGCTGCAGGGTTCCCAAGCGGAATATGAGTTGCTGTTCCTGCAACCTTCGGGTGGCATCGTTGTGGCACTGCAGGAGGCCCAGGATGGACATGTCGTCTGAGGAATGGGAGGGGGAGTTGAAATGGTTCGCGACTGGGAGGTGCAGTTGTTTGTTGCGAACCGAGCGTAAGTGTTCTGCAAAGCGGTCCCCGAGTCTCCGCTTGGTTTCCCCGATGTAGAGGAAGCCACACCGGGTACAGCGGATGCAGTATACCACATTGGCAGATGTGCAGGTGAACATCTGCTTGATGTGGAAAGTCTTCTTGGGGCCTGGGATGGGGGTGAGGGAGGAGGTATGGGGGCAGGTGTAGCACTTCCTGCGGTTGCAGGGAAAAGTGCCGGGTGTGGTGGAGCTGGAGGGGAGTGTGGAGCGGACAAGGGAGTCACGGAGAGAGTTGTCCCTACGGAAAGCAGATAAAGGTGGGGAGGGAAAGATGTCTTTGGTGGTGGGGTCGGATTGCAGATGGCGGAAGTGTCGGAGGATGATGCGTTGGATCCGGAGGTTGGTGGGGTGGTACGTGAGGACGAGGGGGATTCTTTTTTGGTTTTTATTGCGTGGACGGGGTGTGAGGGATGAGGTGCGGGAGATGTGGGAGACACGGTTGAGGGCGTTCTCGACCACCGAGGAGGGGAAGTTACGGTCCTTGAAAAACGAGGACATCTGAGATGTACGGGAGTGTAATGCCTCATCCTGGGAGCAGATGCGGCGGAGGCGAAGGAATTGGGAATAGGGGATAGCATTTTTGCAGGAAGGTGGGTGGGAGGAGGAGTATTCTAGGTAGCTGTGGGAGTCGGTGGGCTTGAAATGAATATCGGTTTCGAGGTGGTTGCCCGATATGGAGACAGAGAGGTCCAGGAAGGGGAGAGAGGTGTTAGAGATGGTCCAGGTAAATTTAAGGTTTGTTAGAGATGGTCCAGGTAAATTTAAGGTTAGTTAGATCTGACTTGTCCAGTATTATCATCAGCTGGCAATTATAAACAAATTTGGAACAATTCCATTCTGAAGATGGGTCACTGGACCTGAAACATGCAGTTTTTTTCTTTACAGATGCTGCCAGAGCTGCTGAGCTTTTCCAGCAATTTCTGTTTTTGATACTAATTTCCACCACCTGCAGTTCTTTGTTTTTTTAAATCAACAATTGGAATGAACTGTTTAGACGCTTGAACCTGTTTCACTATTCACTTTGAACAAGACTAATCTACAATTTGGCTTCATTTAACTGTCTTGGACCCTATCTCCTGATATCTTTATCTGAGCTCAAGATTTTTGTCAAATACAACATTTCATTTAGCGGGTACAGCCTTGTGTGTACGTACATACATGCGTGCGTGTGTGTGAGTGCGAGAGAAAAACAGATATCCAGATTTTCACCAACTTTAATGGAATAAAGTGATTCCTCATTTCACTTAAATAGCTGACTTCTAATTTTAAGATTGAACGTCTTTTGTTCCTGATTTCCCTATAGAGGGAAACAGTCCTTACTAAATCCAATTGAATTGAAGTAGTGAAATGTGTTTTAGTTGTGGCTCAAGTGGCAGCATTTCTGACGCTGTTAGAAGATTCTAGGTTAAGTCCCACTCTTGAATAAGCACAAAAATCAGGGCAGATCGTGCATCATTTGGAGAGGCTGCATTTTAGATGAGACTCTAAACTGATGCCTTTGAGGTGGATGCAAAAGATGCACTGATACTATTTTAAGGGAGGGATCCGCCCCGCACCAACATCACAAACTCGTGCGTCTGCGATTCATCAGTGACCACAATACAAATGTGCCTTAGCTGCAAAGTGTTTTCGAACACTTTGGGGTCATGAAAAGCTAATATAAAGGCAAGTCATTCCTTATTTGACCGTTGTCCTAATATCATCACATCTTTTAGGAATACATTACTTTTCTCATCCTTGCAAAGTTGCAGTGATCAGCGGGAAAGGTTTGCACTAAAGCGATAGTTGGTTTCGCACTGACACCTCTACCTTTCAGGCTGGAAGCTGGCGGTTGGTCAGTGGGCGGAAGGGGCGGTGCCTGGGAACAGGAAGTTACATCACTGGAAGGCGGTCTATCGGCCTAACGGCGCGGAGGGTTGTGGGAATGGGTATCGTGTTCACCTTGAGGAGAGTTCGAGAAGCGGCGGTGGGACAGGAGGTAGGTTCCTTGGGGGGCGGGGATCAGGTACGGCCTTCGTCTACTAGGCTGTGTACAGGGGTGAAGGATCGGGAATAGGAGACAGTCCCTGGCTTCCTACCACAGTCTTCCCTCCATTTTCTTTCCCACCCCTGCCCACTTACTACTCTCCTCTTTGGCCCGTATATACCCCCTCTCTTTCCAATAAATCCCCCTATTCTAGCTAGCTACCCCTTTTTTGCCCATCTCCCGCCCCCCCCACCTCCTACCCCCACCCCCGAATCATGCCTCCCCTTCCTCTGTTACATTGCAGATTGTTCTACAAGTGGCTAAACGTGTAGTTACATAAGGTTTGGCTTATATATGTGAGGCATTCCATTCTTCCATAAATGGTGTGAAGTGCTTTGATTATATAACTCATTACATGAAGCCAGTAATCACTCCAGGAACTCTTGTGTTTCTCCACTTATTTGTGAATTATATCATGAGGAACAATCCATTTAGCCTATCTAGCTTGCTCATGAATTTTATGGGCTATGCTTCCTTTTTTAGCGGCCATCAACCCAACTGGAGAGCAGCACTTGCTTTAGATTTTAAGAGCTAATAAGGTATAATTCTTCAAGGGTGTATATTAAAAAAACTCGAGTGGTCCTAAACCTGTTGCTTTTGGTCCTAAGAAGTGCCCAGATTATCTTAAATCTTAAGGTGTGTTAAAAGTTTGAGCAACAAATGAAGCTAGCTGTTTTATGTCGCTAGTAGGGTTTTTCTACTAACAGCAAGCTACCATCAAAACAATAAGATATTATCTATCTCAGAACCTACAGTTAGCTACGAGAGCAAGTCAGACACTAGGAATCATGCAGCGAGTAACTCTTCCTGATTTTCCCAAAGCCTGTGCACCATCTACAAGGCACAAAGCAGGAGTGTGAGAAATACACCCCACTTCCCACGATAAGTGCAGATTCTACAGCACACAAGCAGCTTGACACCATCCAAGATACAGCAGCATATTTGATTGGAATTTATATCTACAAATTAGGACTCACTCTACCACTGGCCCTTGAATACAGTAGCAGTAGTGTGTACCATCTATTTTTATTGCCTCATGGGACATGAGTGTTGCTGGACGGCCCATCCTTGGTTGTCCTTGAGAAGGTAGTGGTGAGCTGCCTTCTTGAACTGCTACATGCTAGTGTGTGTGCTTAATGGTAGGAGACAGAGGGGGATGGTGGTGGAGGATTGTTTTCAGACTAGAGGCCTGTGACTAGTGGTATTCCACAGGTGTTGGTACTGGATCCACTTTTATTTTTTACTTTTATAAACAATTTTAATGAGCAATTAGGAGACATAGCAAGTTTAGGGATGACAGCAAAATTGGTGATCTAGTCGACAGTGAAGAAGGTTACCTAAGATTACAGAGAGATCTTGATCAATTGGGTCAGAGGGCTGAGAAGTGGCAGAAGGAGTTTAATTTGGATAAATGGGAGGTATTGTATTTTGGTTAAATAAAAAAGGGCAGGACTTGTACAGTTAATGGCTAATTTGTGGGCCCTGGGTAATGTTATAGAACAGAGGCGCCTAGGGGTTCAGGTACATAATACTTTGAAATTTGCATCACACATCGACAGGGTGGTGTCTATAGACAGAAAGCGTTTAGCACACTTGTCTTCATTCCTCAGACTTTTCAGTATACGTGTTGGGATGTCATGTTGAGGTTGCACAGGACATTGGTGAGGTCTCTGCCAGAGTACTGTGTGCAGTTATCTTATTAAATTGAAGATGGTTCAGAAAAGATTTACAGGGATTTTGCTGGGAATGGAAAGTTTGAGTTATAGAGATAAGCTGAAGACAAGTGAAACTAGGTTGGTTTGGGAACATGGTCAGCATGGACTAGTTGGACGAAAGGGCCTGTTTCCATGCTGTATGACTCTGTGCTGTAGGTGGACCCTTAGGGAGGGGATTCCAGGATTTTGACCAAATGACAGTGAAGAAATAGCGATAAGATTTCCATGTCAGGATGGTGAGTGATTTGGAGGGGGGAACTTGCAGTTGGTGGTGTTCCCATGTATCTGCAGCCCTTGTCCTTCTAGGTGGAAGTGGTCATGGATTTGAAAGGTGCTGTCTAAAGGTCTTTAGTGAATTTCAGTAGTGCATTTTGTAGATTGTGCACTCTCCTGCTGATACTCAGCATTTATGATGGAGGGAGTGGATGCATTACGTTGTGGTGCCAGTCAAGGTGGTTGCTTTGTCCTGGATGGTTTCGAGCTGCTTGAGTGTTGTTGGAGTTATACTCGTCCAGCCAAGTAAAGAGTATTCCATCACTTTCCTGACTTGTGCTTTGTAGATGGTGTACAGGCTTGAGCGAATCAGGAGGTAAGTTACTTACCGAAATATTCCTAGCCCCACATCTGCTCTTGTAGCCACTTTATTCATATGGTGAGTCCAGTTGAGTTTCTGGTCAATGGTAACTAGAGAATGTTGAAGGGGGAGTATTCAGTGATGGTAATGACATTGAATGTTATGGGGTGGTGGTTAGATTGTCTCATGTTAGAGATGTGTGGCGTTTATGTGGTGTGAATGTTTCTGGCCACTTCTAGCCTATGCCTGGATATTGTACAGATCTTGTTACATTTGAATGTGAACTGCTTCAGTATCTGAGGTATCATGAATGGTGCTGTACGTTGTGCAATCTTTGGTGAACATCCCCACTTCTGACCTTTTATGATGGACAGGAGGTCATTGACGAAGCAGCTGAAGATGGTTGGGCCTCGGACATTACCCTGAGGAACTCCTGCAGAGATGTCCTGGAGCTGAGATGAGTGACCACCAACCAAGCCATCTTCCTGTGTGCCCTGAGTTTGCTCCCTGATTCCCACTGCTTCCAGTTTTGATAGGGCTCCTTGATGTCAAGGGCTGTCCCTGTCACCCCACCTCAGCTCTTTTGTCCATGTTTAAACCAAGGCTGTAATGGGTTCAGCCTTGGTGGGCCCCAAACTGTGCATCACTGAGCAGGTTGTTGCTAAACAGGTGACGCTTGAAAGCATTGTTGATGACACCATCCATCACTTTGCTAATGATCAAGAATAGACTGTTGAGGCAGTAACTGGTTGGGTTGCATTTGTCCTGCTTTTTGTGTACAGCACCTGTCTGGGTAATTTTGATGTCAGTGTTGTAGCTGTACTGGAACACTTTCAGCAAGGGCTGTGGCAATTGTGGTGCACTAGTCTTCAGTACTGTTGCCGGAATGTTGTCAGGGCCCGTAGCTTTGCAGTATCCAGTGCCTTCAAATGTTTCTTTCACATGAAATGAATCAATTTGGCTGAAGACTGGCATCTAAGATGCTGGGACCACTGGAGGAGGCTGAGAGGGATCAACCAATCAGTACTTCTGGTTGATGATTGCTGTGAATGTTTTAGCCTTTCGCATTTATATGGTGGATCTTCAATCATTGAGGATGAGGATATTTCTGGAACCTCTTCAGTGAGTTGTTTAATTGTCCACAACTGTTGATGACTGGATGTGACAGCACTGCAGAGCTCATCTGTTGGTTGTGGGATCGCTTAGCTCCATGTATCACTTGCTGCTTATGCTGTTTGGTATCTTGACCAAGTTGATAACTTATTTTTAAGAATAACGTGTGCTGCTCCTGGCATGCCCTCCTGCATTCTATGTTGATCTAGGCTGGTCCCTTGGCTTGATGGTGGTAATAGTTGAGTGGGGAATAAACCAGGCCATGAGGTTGCACATTGTGTTGGAAGTATGATCCTGCTGCTGTTGATGGCCTGCAGCACCTTGTGGATGCAGTCTTGAATTGCTAGATCTGTTTGAAGTCTGTCCTGTTTATCACAGTGCTACACAACACAATGGAGGGTATTTTCTTTGTGAAGATAGGACTTTGTCTCCAAAAAATTGTGCTGTGGTCATTCTAACTCATACTGTCATGGACAGATGCATCTCCAGCAGACAAATTGGTGCGGATGAGGTCAAGTATGTTTTCCCCCCTGTTGGTTCCCGCACCACCTGGCGCAGACACAGTCTTGCAGCTGTGTTCTTTGGAACCTGACCAATTTGATCAGTAGTGCTGCTGTTGAGCCACTTCTAGTGTTAGATATTGAAATTCCCCCTTCCAAATTTGTGCTCTAGCCACTGTCTGTGCTTCCTTCAAGTGTTGTTCAACTTAGAGATGTACTGATTCATCAGCTGAGGGAAGAGGGTACGTGGTATTTAGCATGAAGTTTCCTTCCCTAAGTTTTACCTGATGACATGAGACTTCATGGAGTCAGGAGTCAATGTTGACTCCAGGGCAACTCCCTCTTGATTGTATGCGACCGTGCTGCCAGCTCTGGGTGGCCTGTCTTACCAGTGGGACAGGATATATCCAGGGATGGTGATGGTGGTGTCTGGGCACTGTTTATAAGATATGATTCTGGGAGTATGACTCTGTAGGCTGTTGCTTGACTAGTCTATGAGACAGCTCTCCCAGTTTTGGCACTAGCACCCTGATGTTATTAAGGAGGACAATGCACGGTTGACAAAGCTGTTTCTGCCGTTGTCATTTCCGTTACCCAGGTCGATGCCAGGTGGTCTGTCCAGTTTCATTTTTCGAAACTGGTAGGCAATTTGAGGGCAGTTGAGAGTCAATCACATAGCTGCGGCTCTGTAGGCCAGATCAGATTTCCTTCTCTGAAAGACGTTGGAAAAACCCATCTGGTCCACCAATAATAGATGGCGGTTTTGTGGTCATAATTAGTTCCTTAATTCCAGATATATTTTGTTTATGGAATTCAAATTTCACCATCTGCCATGGTGGGATTCGAACCTGGATGGCCAAAACATTAGTTGAGTTTCTGATTTAAAAATCTGACGATAATACCAGCGAGCCATCACCTTCCCTCCATTTACAGAATACACTTCAGAAATTCACCAAGACACTTTGAACTGCACCTTCCGAACCCATGACCACTGTCGTCTAAAAGGGCAAAAGCAGAAGATACAATGGGATCACCTGCAAGCTTCCCCTCAGAACCTGCCACCATTATGACCTGGAATGTTCCTTCACTTGTCATTGGGTTAATGTCCTGAACCTCCAACATTAATAGCATTGTGGGTGTACCAATACCAAAATGAAGTCCACTGGTTCATGAAAGCAACTTACCATCATCTTCTAGAGGGCAATTAGGATGGACATCAAATGCTCACCAAGCCAGCAAAGGCCACGCATGTGGAATGAATAAAAAAGAATGCAAATGAATAAGGTAGTATAGGAATTTCAGTGCTTTTGTGATGCTAGAAATGTAACTTGTGTATATATACCAATGACCATTACAAACAGCCCTAGTTTGCAGAACGCAGCACTGATGTTCCCTCTGAGGTTCTGCACATGCCATTTGGTGTGTCAATGAGTATGGACCTTGAAACAAAATTGGAGCGAACATAGCTTTACGGTGTTGAGCATTAGATGTGATTCTGTAATTGGTCAGCATTTGCAATATAATCCTGTGTGTGAGAAAAATTATGCTGACTACCAGTTGGGAATTATCAGTCATTGTAGTGTAGTGAAGTAATTCTGAAGAATAGTCACCGGACTCGAAACATTAGCTCTGTTTTTTTTTGACCATAGATGCTGCCAGACCTGCAGAGTTTCTCCAGCAATTTCTGTTTTTGATTGTTTCAAATCTCTAGCATCTGCAGTTCTTTGTTTTGTTGTGTTGTGGCACTTGCATGTATTGGAATATTAATACATGGTACCCTGTTTTTTGCAGACAGAAAATGTACAAACACTTTGCGTGTTTCAACTCAACAAAATAAGGTACAGGCATTCTATAGTCCATCTCGCAGGCAATGCCTTGACCTATCAGACTCAGCCAGCCTTGTTTAAAATTTGAAGCTTGCAAGCTTGCTAGTTGACTACCAGGCAACATTAACTAGTGCATTCTCCATAGCATCATCTCTACCAGTTAGAGTTTGCTTGCCTCACATTCAGCAGCTTCCTCCTATAATATGTGTTGTTTTTCCTATGGATTTCTTATGAATTGTCTTAACGAATACAAGATGAAAAGCTCTGTCAAAAGCTTTCAGCAGTTTTTATGATATATAGTGGCCAGTGGAGGTGCCAGTGATGGACTGGGGTGGAAAAGGTCAAAAATCACACAGCACCAGGTTATAGTCCGATAGGTTTATTTGAAAACACTAGTTTTTGGAGCTCTGCTCCTGTTTTCAAATAAATCCATTGGACTGTAACCTGGTGTCATGTGATTTTTGACAATGTAGTTCCGAGTCGGCATGACTAGAATGTTTTCGCTAAATCATGATAAAGAAGGACTTCCATCTTGTCAGCATCTTTTAATATTATCAGGGTGACCCAGAGCACTTTAGCCTCACTCCTGTATACTTCAAACGTAATTTGTATTGCAGTACCAAAAGATGTGGTACATAACCTATAGCAAGATCCTCTGCTGAAATGGCTGGCTGGGATAGATAATCTGTATAGGTATGTTCCAATCAACTTGTTCAGAGATGTTATTACACACCCCTGGAGCAGGTGGGACTTCAACCTGGGTTTCCTGTCCCAGAGGTTGAGACACTATTACCATGCCACAAGAGCCCTGAATAATCTCTATATTACTGGTATTGATTGAAGGATGCATGTTGGCCAGGATGCTGGGAGAATTTCCTTGCTCTTCAAAAACTTTGATAAAATATTTTGCATACAATATAAATACTGACATTTTGATTCTTTAACCATTGCCATGTAGACCCAACAGTATTATCATTCATTTTACAGTGGGATGTTGCTTGATCTTGTTATAGTTAGTTTTTAAAGGGCTTATTATGTTCTGCAGCAAATACTCAACGCCTTAGCTTATTTGAAACGATGGGGGCATCCACGTCAATGCTACCGAACAATGTGCAAGCAGATTCTGTTGCTGTTACAGCACAGGCATCACCACCACCAGAATGCCCAATGCATCAAGCCAAGAAGGAAGGTAAATATTTTGAATTCATTGGAGTCTGTTCTGGTGCCCTTTACCTCAAGCTGGGGAACACAAAACACCATGCTCAATATTAAGCAAATTTTGGGAAAAATGGCATACATTATTTTTGAGAAGTTTACAATGTATTTTTAAGATGAATTCACCCGAGTGTTTCTAGAATAATGGCAACTGGTTTAATTGCTCTAAAATTTATCACAGCAGAAAATCCAGCGTTGGTAGTTCATACTTCTGTAACCATTATTGTTACATATGAATAAGTACTTTTAAACTCATTTGCCTGGTCATTACACTGAATAGATTTCCTCCTTTGCTGAATTTGTAACTTTTAACTGAACCAAAAATAACCCTTTCTACTTGAATATGAATAGCAGAATCTCAAGGTTGTCATTGTGAAATAACATTGGTGCAGTTAATTGGAATTGTTCATTCTTTTGCAACCTGTTTTGTCAGGTTGTCCAATGCATCAGGCAACAGCTGCCTCAATAGAGAATGCATCTTATCCTGTGCCTGCACATCAGGAGAGGGCATACGAATATGTGGAGTGTCCTATGAAAGGAGGTAACAGACCACAAACAGAAGATGATATTGATCCCAGTAATATGGTAAGTACAACAGGATATGATGTAATCTTTTAAATGCTAACATCTGTGTTTCTCCACTTTGTGAATTAGCATGTTTCACTGCTCTTCTTATGGAAGTTTCCAGTATGTTAAAGCATTTAGGCAGATTAAAATGCTTGCTAATATTTTTAAAAACTTTATCAGATAAGAATATAATAAATTACTTATCAAAATGTGATGCTTTATTTCTATCTGTATGTGATTATAATAATTGGGGCAACTGAACCTTGAACTTAAGGTGTTTGATCTTGGCATCTCAAAGGAATGTTACATTGTGACATCTATGGAATTAGCAACCTCTGTGCCATAAAACTGAAATTAGCATTAAAACAATGTGTTTTGCCAGGGCTTTTTGATTTTCAACTTTACCTGTTCAGATTCAGAACTGTGAAATCATTTTTTTCTGTTGTATTTACCTTTTTCAAAAAAAAATATGGTTTCCTGTTTTTTTTTCCAGGAGGGCTAGTCAGTAGTTATACGTATATCCCTTTGTTTTGTAGATGCCACCACCTAACCAGACGCCTTCACCAGATCAGCCATACCCACTTTCTCTCGTCAGAGAGGAGTCTTCTATTCCAAGGACTCACTCAGACAAGCATTGGGTATACCCTTCAGAACAGATGTTTTGGAATGCAATGATCAGAAAAGGGTAAGCAGACAAAGACCTGCTGTTAAATAAGCATGAATAGTATGAGGGAAATGTCATACAGCATGGGTATCAGATGCCATTATTATTGTCAGACTTGTGTTAAGTAAGGGAATGCTTCTGACAGTTACTGACACTTGCAGATTAAATTCTGTTTCTCTCTGTGGTCTGAATCTCAGCTTCATTGTAGAAATAAATTATTGAAAAAAATTGATTTTGTACTTTCTCTGAAGAACTCTAAATGAAGGGTTTGCAGGTGGAAGGATTAAAACTGAGTGTGTGGAGTGACGTGTAAGCGACCTGTACCTCAGTACTACCCTTCAGTTACTTTTTCCTCATGTAGGAGATGAGGATACAAAGACAGGACTGTGGGCTTAGCTGTGATGCCTTCATCAGCAATAGTCTCTTGGCACTTACTTCCTATACACTCATAAAGGCAAGTGGAGATTGCTGACACTCAGAGAATCATAGCCCTACAAACATCTGGAGAAGAAATTAAAAAATACATGGAAATGTGAACTCTTTATCTGTGTTGCTAGAACTATGTTGTAAATACAGGTAGTTCTGCTATAATGCATGTTTCGTTAACACAAATTGGCTGTAATGCAATTGATGAATAGTGAATGCTGTTTGGATAGCGCAAACTTTCTGCTGTACAAGTATAGCAATTTTCTATAGTGATTTCCCTATAATGCGATTTTCTATAGCGTATGTTCACGCGAGAGCACAACTATCGCATTGTAGGAGAACTACCTGTAACTGAAAATAGTTTCCTTTGTCCCATTATAATCTATCCTAGCTTTTATATTGCTCAGCTGTCTTAAATACCAACTTGTAATTCTATTTAATGAATAATAATGTAAAGTGTCTGTCTATTATCACTGTTGTATGTATAAAGGGTCACCAGTTTATATTCATACTTTGGCATTCATTTCACTCGATATGATGTTTGTGTCATTCTCGGGAAAAATTGATTATTTTGTTCAATGACAAAACATTCAATGCCATAGTTTTAAACTTCTTATTCCATACTATTTTACAGGTGGCGTTGGCGGAATGAAGACATTTCAGTTGAAGATATGTCGAACATTGTTAAGATCCATAATCAGAACAATGAACAAGCCTGGAAAGAAATACTGAAGTGGGAAGCACTTCATGCCAAGTTAGTTCATAGCTCATAATGGATGCATTTCTTGAACAGTAGTTCAGGTTACAAAATGAAGTTGCAGTGCATTGTGCTCTGATTTAATTGCATTACCATTTCACTTGATTAAATGACACTTGGAAAACTAAATACCACTGATTTTATCTTTTTGGTTACAAAAGTTCACACCTGTTCGGTATGCTAGTTATTTTTAGTTGCCTGTAATAGGTTTTCTTTTACTTCAAAGTGTCAGTGTGGGCAACAAAAAATGAACTGCTACAGATTTTATTTTGGAGGCAAGAACTTTGGTGAAGCTGATGTCGATATGGGTGGAGGTGCATAAGTGAATTTCCCACTTTGAGCCTGTTGCGCCACTCATTAAGATTTAAGGCTGATCTTTGCCTCAGCTCTGCTTTCTTGCAGTATCCCTGTATCCTTTAGTTCCCTGAATGTACAAAAATTAATCAACCTCTGTATTGAATGTTCTCATTGACTGAGTATTCCTAGCCCTCTGGGTTTGGGAAGTCCAAAGCTTCACAACTCTTGAGTGAAAAATCACATACATTCTGTCCACTGAAAAAGACCCTGATCTTCCAGTTGCCTGCCACTTCAACATACTATCTTGTTCCCTGGCCAACATCTGTCTGCAGGCTTGCTGCTTTGCTCCAGCAAAGCTTGGTGCAGACTGGAAGAACAGCACCCCATTTTCCACTTGGGAACTCAACAGTCTTCTGGATTCAATATCAAGTTCAATAGTTCTAGGGTTTGAGGCACCTTCTCCCATGTCCTTACTCCTAACCCCACACATTAGACTTCTTCATCACACGGTCTGCTATTACACATAACCCATTGTTAGCCACTAATAGTCCTCGTTAGCAGTTATTTCTTTTCCTAGGCAGATCGTTATCCACCCCTTTTGTCTGTCCATCCGTTCTTCTCTCTCTTTGGGCTCTATCTTCACTTATTGTTTACTCCAGAATCCCCTTGCCCCACCCTACTTTCTGCATAAAAACCAACATTTTTCTCGCTACCAGAGATAAGTGTGGAGCTGGAGGAACACAGGCCAGGCAGCATCAGAGGAGCAAGAAAGTTGATGTTTCGGGTCGGAGCCTTTCTTCAGAAATTTCTTGCTCCTCTGATGCTGCCTGGCCTGCTGTGTTCCTCCAGCTCTGCAGTGTTATCTCTGATTCTAGCATCTGCAGTTCTTACTATCTCTTTTTCTAGCTACCATCAGTTCTGAAGAAGGCTCTCTGGACCAGAAATGTTAACTGATTCCTCTCCACAGAGGCTGCCAGACTTGCTGAGATTTTCCAGCAATTTCTCCTTGGTTCTAAATGGCTGACCACTTATGCTGATGCAGTAATCCCATGTTCTAGACTACCCATCCAGTGGAAATGTTTTCTCAGCACAAACCCTGCCAAGCCTTGATGTACTCGACCACTCATAATAGGACAATCCCTTGTACTAGGGAAACAGTCTGGAGAACCTTTGCTCTCTTTGTGCAACAATATACCCTTCCTTGGGTAAGGAGACCAAAACCGTAATCAGAACGCTAGTTGTGACCTCACTAATACTTTGAATGTGCTCAGACTTATCTAATTTCACGTTTTGATTCCTCTGCCGCATTCCTGCCAACTTAATCTGCATTTATCCCTTTTCAGATTCTGTACATTCTTGTTGCTTACTTTCCCATCCAGCCTTTTCTTATGAGCAAACTTCAAAATGCTACCCTGCGTTCTCTTGCCTATATCATTGATACAGTTATTATTTGATGCCCATATCCTGATCATTGCTGTACCTTGCTAGTTATGGCTCGCCAACAGAAAATATCCTGTTTATTCCTACACTCTGCAGTTTTCTATCTGTTCACCAATCCTCAATTTGTCTCTCTCTCTCTCATCCTGACCCACTCAGCTCAATTTTACACAACATACTACTCTGCTGTAGAACCTAGGTATTTACGTTGCTTCTTTGATTGAGTGGACTTTCTGCTCAGCAGTTCTTTTTGTACGATTTCTCCTGTTTTCCAGAATATTTAAGTGAAGTAACATATTACTATCTGGAATTAGTTGCAGTATTGAATCCCATCTGAAAACTAATGTCTTGGCAGGGACTGAAATTGGCTTTCAACTTTGCAACTGACTGACCAGTCAACATGTTCTGCAGAAATGCATTTATCTCACACTTGGTTTATTCATCATGCTCTGTTTTTGCTTTGTCTCAGCTGCCCAGGTACACCTTCATCAGCTGTGATGTTGAAATCTAGTTTAAAATAGCATTGTGATAGAAGTAATGAAAAATCGGAAGAAAATGGTCTTGATTGTTTTGCTGACAAATGGCTTACTTAAATTATTCCACTGTAAAGGCATTTTAAGAAACTATTACAGCGTTCCCAACTTTGTTAATGTCAAATTATTCAGAACAATAAGTATTTTTCAAATGTTGAGCTACATTTATAATCGTCATTACAAGATATGCTGTTATTTATTATTAGGTTGTAAAAATGTAAAAAGAATAGACTACTCAGCCCTTCAAGTGTATTCCACTCAATATGATCATGGTTGACCTACTTTATCATCACCTTTCTGCACCACCTCCATGTCTTTAATTCCCTTAGTATCCAAAAGTCTAACAACTTCCATCTTAACTATACTCAATGACTGGACCACCATGGCTCTGTGGGATGTAAAGAATACTAAGACCCACAACCTTTTGAAGAAATGTCTCTTTATCTCAGTCCAAATAGCTGACCCCTTATTCTGAGATTGAACCCAATATCTAAACTCCTTCAACCAGTGAAATTGTATTACCAGCATTCACCATATCAAGCATTTAAGAATGATGTATTTTTAAATTAGATCACTTCCTAATATTCCAATATTGATCAATTTCCATTTCCACTTATTCATTAAATATGGTACGTAACCTTGTTAGTTTGAATTTTCGTTCTTGATAAAGTTCTTGATTCTTTTGTTCCATCATTTTCTGTTTTTTTGTTGTTGAGTACTTAAGCAGTCTGTGATGCAAAAAGCCAGCCAATTCTGAAAACCGAAATGGGGCTTTATTTATCTAGTTTTCAGTCATACAGAATTGATACCCCTGTAGGGAATCTCGATGTTCACATTATTTTTGAAGTTTTGTTTTAAAATTCCAGAATAGTAGCAGACAGTTGTATTATTAAATTTAAGTTTTTAGTTGTTCTGGGACGTTGAAGTTACTAGCAGGACCAATATTTATTGCTTGTCTCTAATTGCCTTTGAGAAAGTGGTCACACACTGTCCTACCGAACCATGGCTGTCCGTGTGATGTAGGTACACTCTCCGTGCTTTTAGGAAAGGCCTTCCAGGACGTTTGATTCAGAGACAGTGAAGAATTTCCAATTGACGTGCCATCCTGACTTGGAGTACTTGCAAGTGTGAGGTTCCCATGCATCTACTGCTCTTAGTCTTCTAGGTGACAGAGGTCATAGATTTGTAAGAAACTTTTGTGAGTTGCTGTAGTGAATCTGTAGGTTGTACCTTCTGCTGCCACAATGTGGGATGCCAGTCAGTAAGGCTGCTTTGTCCTGTATTGTGTTGAGGTTCTTGAGTTGTATCATTCTGGCATTCCATCACAATACTAACTTGTGGTTTTGTGGAATCAGGAGATGAATTAGCTGCCATAGAAATCATGGCATCTTGACTGAAGTATTGAAGGAACTGGTCCAGTTTACCTTCTGGTCACTGATGATCCCAGGAGGTTGAAGGTGGATATTCAATGATGGAAATGCCATGAGAGGTTAATAGGAAGTATTCCTTGAAGATGGTCAATTCTTGGTACTTAGTTTTAAGTAACAATTCCACCATCCATTAGCCCACACTTAATTGTTTTGCTGCATGTGGGCATGGACTTTCCAATATCTGAGGAATAAGTTGGACTGTGCCCTGTGCAAACATCAGTGTGCATCCCCATTTCCGATGTATAATGTTCCTAAATTTTCATAGAACCTTTGCACTGCAGGTAGTTACTGGTAAACCTGTTTGTTTGAATTCACTGGCTTTATGGTACAGTGCAACATATGATGGTGTCATTATGGTGAAGACCTGAAATAATTAACTTTGTTGGAACTCAGTCACATCTTAAAATATATTCTCTTTGTATTCTTCTAAACTGCTACATGTTCTGTTGTAATTTTATCTCTAATATAACTTGAAGTTTACCAAACATAAATTCAGTAATAAAGCTGTAGGAGCAAAATTGATATTAATTTGGTTATGTTGAGAATGTTTGATATGTTTTTGTTTTGATATTTTAGAGAATGCCCCTGTGGGCCTTCATTACTCCGCTTTGGGGGAAAAGCTAAGGAATATTCACCAAGAGCTCGGATTCGTTCTTTAATGGGGTATGTTTTGAACATGTTAAGTCCTATTTAAAGTGGCACACTTTATTTTAATTTGGCTTGGGCATTTAACAAAACAAAAACTTCAAATTGTCAGAGACCACATTAACTCTTTGAGGATGTAAATAAAGTGCATTATGGTGTTTTTAGGAGAAAGAAGGCCTTCGTGATTGGCTGGTATGTATTGTGTATGCGCGTGCGGGTGCAGTTGGGTGCAAGAGAACTTGGTAATCAACTAGTTTAAATCCTGCCATAGTATAGGTCAAAGTAAATTTCCTTGAATCCAGCCTAGTCACACTGCCAGTTATATTTGTGTTAATGCTATTCTTACTCCTCAACAATGATACCATTAATCTGCCTACACCTGTGACATCTTCCTTTAATTAGGCTTTGAGGTTAAGAATTCCCTTTGAGGTTGGGGGCATCATATATATAAACCATTGTTTTACCATTGTTTAGTCCTATAATTGTTATCCACTTAACTATTTTATATTAAATGTGAGTGAACTAAGTCAGGAACCATCATGAAGTACATTTGTACAGTTCATTTCTGTCTTCCTTCCCCTTTTCAATATGTAGTGACTGCCATCTGGTGGAATTTTGAATGAACTGCATTGGCAAAAGATGACTGAAAACTAAGCAGAACTCTGCTCAAGATAAATATTTATCTTTTCATGCTAATTCTTTTTGTACTTCACTACAAAAATAATTGCATATATAAATTTTAAAATTAGTACAGATTTGCATAATTATTTTACTCGCATGTGAACAATTTGCATCTGTGAGGTTTCTTTGTTTAAAAAAGTCAAACTGTTCATGACTGATAGATTTACTTGGAATGATGGAAGAATGGATTGGAGAAGAGAAAATTAGCCTGATTGAAGAGCTGTCTTTGGGAAATGTTTTAAGAAGTGAAAGAGGGGGAGAAATAAAGGCTGTAGAGGAGGAGTTGGCGGAGAATGATGCTGAGCTGACTTGCTATACCATTTTGATTGCCAACGTAATGTCACATTTTTAGCATTGATAGGTTGATTAATATTAGCCTGAATGACAGGTTTTCTGTCATTCAGGCTAATATAGGGGCTAAATGTCCTAATGCTGTCGTTACGTACACCCTCTTGTGTGTCAGTCATAACTCATTTGGTAGCACTTCCACCTCTGAATCAAAGTTGTGGGTTTCAGCACTTAAGTACCAAAATCAAGGTTGGCATTCTGGTGTAGTACTATGCAGTGCTGTCCTACAGAGGAGGCATAAATCCAACATGCCACCTGCGCTTTCAGCTGGATGTAGATCCCATGGCAATATCCTGAAAGACAAGATAGATGGCCCTCCTCATCCTTTATTATCAATAAAAATTCTGATCATTGCCGTCTTGGAGTTTGCTATGCATGAATTGGTCTTTTCTTTATTACAGTGTAGACAAACAGGAGGCTGGAAGATCACAGCAAGCCAGGCAGCATCTGGACGAAAGGAGAAGTCATGGGTATTACTCTTCGTCAAGACTGGAGTTGACTTCTCCTTTCCTCCAGATGCTGCCTGGCTTGCTGTGTTCTTCCAGCTTCCTATTTGTCTACCTTGGATTCCAGCATCTGCAGTTTTTTTGTCTCTTTGATTTACTACAATAGTGACTATACTTAAAATGTAATTAATTAGCTTAAAGATTTGAGATGACCGTTGGTTCTGAAAGGTGCTATATTAAAAGTTGGTGGATGCAGATCTTTGATTTTTAAAGCATAGGTGATGGTTTCTGGTAAGCAAGGGGGTGCAAAGTTATCAGGTGTAAATGTGAATGTGGATTTGAGGTTACAATCAGATCAGCTGTGATCTTAGAGTCATACAGCACAGAAACAGACTCTTCGGTCCAACTAGTCCACGCGAACATAATCCCCAGCTAAACTAGTCCCACCTGCTTGCTCCTCGCCCATATCCCTCCAAACCTTCGTGTACTTAGCCAAATGTCTTTTAAATGTGATTGTACCCACATCCTTCACCTTCCTCAGGAAAGTTCATATGTTCATATTTACTCTTCTGTTAAAAAAAAAAAAAATTCGCTCCTTTCATCTTAAAAATGTGTCCCCTAGTCTTGAAATCCCCCATCCTGGAGAAAAGACAAGTACCATTAACTCTATATGATAATGAGGGGTATAGATAAACTTCTAATGAGGTCATCTCTTGACCTCCTACACTGCAGTGAAAAAAGTCCCAGCCTATCCAGCCTTTCTTTATAATGCCAATCTTCCATACCTGGCAACAAATTGGTAAATCTTTTCTGATCCCTCCAACTTAATAACATCCTTCCTATAAGTATTAAATGACAAAGCAGGCGAGAGGAGCCGATTGGCCTGCTGCTTGTTTATTTGTATGCTAAATGGTGCTTAAAAGGAGTAAATTAATATAACTGGCTCAAAAAATGAGAAGGTATTGACAAAAATCAAATATTTTTGAGTTTCGTCTCAAGAATTTGGTGTTTTATATTTGGACCCCAAGATATTTAGGTAAGTGAGCCATTTAGACAGTCTAGACATTAGTCTCAAGGAAAGTAACCAAAATTAAATTGTAAAATTATGCATGTATTTAATGTTAATTTTTTGTAAACTGACTGATATCTCAATTGTTTTAAAACATTGTTAGGTATGAACTACCTTTTGATCGACATGACTGGATTGTAAACCGCTGTGGAAAGGAAGTACGATATGTGATTGATTATTATGATGGAGGCGAAGTTGACAAATCAACATTTCAGTTCAGTGCTCTGGATGTGCGTCCTGCTCTTGATTCCTTTTCTGCAGTGTGGGATAGAATGAAAGTGGCATGGTGGCGTTGGACTTCATAACGTTTATTTAAACTGTAGCATTTACTACAAATGAACCCATGGATGTCATAATCTTTAAATGTTTTAAAATTAAATTGAATTATCTGCACATTAGAACTGAGCAAGCTGCACTTTGTACCTGCCATTGTCCAGATATCACATGCTTAAAAGCTTCTGACAGCTTAAAAGCTTCTGACAACTTAAACCAACTCTCATCATTTCTGTGCATATGGTTTGTTATGGAACAAGACTTGGCATATGATCGGTATTATATACATTCTGTTGTATTCTTTTATATTTAGCTGTTGTATTTGCTGATTGGGAATAATTAATCAATTAATTTATCTTGAGCATTTCCTTCAGGGAATTACTTTTGTTAGTCCTAATACCTCTATATTCCAATGTATTAATTTGAAAAAGTGTTAAATTTGAATATATGTTGACCAGCTTGATGGAATCCTGGGGTGATTGCAACCATTAGACTTTTCTTGTGCTTTCAGTTGAGTAATACTTAAACTATGATGCAATATCGTGAGTCCAGTGTGCTTGCTCTTTAAGGCTGAGAAGCAGCATGTCAGAATGAAGGTGGGGGATGGACTAATTATATTAATTTTCCTGATGTACTATAGAACTGAATGATTGCTGAAAAATAAAGATACAACACCAAATTCTTACATTAGCTTTCCATTAAACTGGGAGGTACTTGCTTAAAGATTCAAAAAGTCATTTTGCTAGTTTTACTTGATGTATTTTTTTGGGAGTTCTGAGTATTTTCTTAATGACAGGCAGTAGACTTGATAATGTCTAAAATGGATTTCCCATTACCTGATTACAGTAGATATTGCAGGGGTTATCTAGTGCAAACTAGAATCGTAGTCAAAACCATGAAGAGAAGTTGTTCTAATTTTCACATTCCTACTTAGATAAACATCTTATTAGAAAAATGGTCAAGGTAGCAACTATGCTGAAATTTTGACTTTTTCACTAATATCCAAACTTATTTTCAGGGAAGAGTCATGTTAGACTAAAATTGGTATGCTCTTGTTAACATTTAGATTAGGTAACGAACTTGCACAGCGCAAATAAATTTTTTTAACTTAAATATGAAAACAGTTTTACAAGTGTTTCCATGAAAAACTTGAAAGAGATTTTCCCACAGTTAATGATTAAACATTAGTACTTTAATCTTAATTCTATGCGAGATCCAAAATAAAACCAAGAGCTGCAAATGCTGAAAATTTGGAAAAAAAAATGGTTATAGAAACTCAGCAGCTCTGGCAATATCTATGGAGATAAAGCAGAGTTAATGTTTCAGGTCCAATGATGCCTCTTCATAAAAATCCATACTTGGTGCTGCTGATCTAATGAAGTCTACTGTGGATAAGTGTGAGGTTATCCGCTTTGTAAGCAAAAACAGAAGGAAAATTAATAAGTGAATGGTGGTTGATTGAGAGAGTCTGAGATGAAGCAGAATCTTGGTGTCCTTGTTTGCCAGTTGCTGAAACTAAGCTTTCAGGTGCTGAAGTAGGCAAATAGTATGTTGGCCTTCATAGGGAGAGGATTCGAGTACAGGAACAGGGATGTCTTGCTGCATTTTTACAGTGCCTTGGTGAGACTGTACCTAGAATATTGTGTACAGTTTTGGCCTCATTATCTGAGGAAGGATGTTCAGTTGTGGAGGGAATGTGATACACATTTACCAGACTGGTTCCTGGGAATGGCAGGACTGATGTGAAGAGAAACTGGATTGATTAGGACTATATTCGCAAATTTAGAAGAATGAAGGGGGATTCTCTTTCAAAACCTTCAAATTCTAAAAAGACTAGACAGGGGAAATGCAGGAACCATGTTGCTGATAAGTGGGGAGTCCAAAACCAGGGGTCACAGACTAAGGATATGGGGTAGGCCATTTAGGACTGAGTTTAGATACTTCTCCACCCACAGTTGTGAGCCTTGGAATTTTCTGCGACAAAACAATTGAGGCCAAGATATTTAATGTTTTCAAGAAGGAGACAGATATAGTTATTAGTGCTAAAGGGACCAAAGGGTTTGGTGAGAAAGTGGGAACAGTGTACTGAGCTGGATGATCAGCCATGATCATGTTGAATGGTGGAACAGGCTTGAAGGGCCCAATGGCTTACTTCTCCAATTTTCTATCTTTTCTAGGTTTCTAAACCTTGACTGCCAACCTCTCTACCCAAGTATTCTAGGCTTGGATAAGTATGTATGAAGTTATGAGGGAGCAGTATATATACAATTGGGCATACAGAATTTTTGTTACTTGTCTAGAATTCATGAACATGTTCAAAGCATGCTTAGTGCCGTCAATGTCTCAGGTTTGAGTCTCTTACAATGGATTGCAAACATAAACTTACCAGCCTCCTCCAGACTGATGGCATCGGATGCATTTTCTTCTTTACATCTCACGATATTTTTAATGTTTTCAAGGAGATGGTGTAGTGATCAGTGCTAAATATAGCCTGTAAACTATTGCCTTTTCAAATATATAACCAATTTCCTTTTGAAAAGTGCAACTGAATCTCCTCCCTCAGTAATGCAGGTCATACTATCTCCATTACTATTTTTTTCCAAAAAGGTCAATGTGATTTTTTTTTTGTCACTAATAATTTGAGATATTACAATGAATTTACATTGAGTTCTTTGAGAATGGATTTCTTTATGGCAAGGGGTCGTTGAGATGGAGATGATGGTATCAGTTATTCAAAATTTGACAAGACTAATGGCACAGTACTCTGGACTGTTAATGTATGTGGAAAATGCAGACCAATGCTCCCTTTAAGGTGTGAGCATGCACACTACTCATTAAGGGATTGTATAATGGAAGAAACTGGGAATGTAGCATCCAATACAGTCACACTCTGTAATAGCATTTGATCACCATATCACCCTAGTTTCAGAAAATAGGTGAGGTAATGATCTTCATGATGATTGCTCTGTAAGTAATACATCTGTTAAAAAGGCCCTTTGATCAAGTCGAGACTGTATAGAAATAGTCCTATATTACATCAGATGAATTGAACATTTGTTAACTTCCTTAATTTGGATAGTAATTTGAGGCTGCCAATGTAGAAAACATTTTCCATAGGCTAGTTATTTCTTACTGCCAACAGCTTCTTGGGACAGTTGGTGGAGAGCATAAGCCCTGAAGTATGACTAGCTCATCATATTATTCCTAGTGGAAATGACATATCAATGACGTAATGTGTTGAGCTTTAATTATTGTTGGCCTCTCTTGGCATCATGATGAAGTCAGTAAAATCATAGGGTCATTATGGTGTGACTATTGGTGAAGTGCTCTGCATTTGTCATTGCTCCTTTACTGAACTTGATGCAACAAATGGAGTTTTGACGTGCACATTTAAACACTGATTAATGTTAATGTCTGTATTTTTGGGAAATTCTAGCAATTGGGGGTGGGCATTTTGGCTATGGCATTATTTCTAGTAGACTGACTAATTTTGATAAATTTTGCAGAATATAGTTTACCCATTAATTCGTATTTAGTTTTAATTTTAGTTTTACCATTGGAATCATCTGAGAAGTCTTGTTCCTTCAGGTTATTGGTCTCCATGGTGAATGTAACAGTAGAAATTACTGTTAGTGACTCAGTGATCCACCTGATGGTCTGTGAATACCTTTAACAGCAGACTGAAATTGATGAAAACCAAGTGTTTTAACAAGAACATCTTCCTTATGCTTATTGTGTGGTCCATAACAGTTGGTCTTGTAAAAACTCTTGAATTTCTTTTATTTCCTTTTTAAATGTGTTTATTTTAGTTTCTATGTTCATCCAATTACTTTTACTATGAAAAGTTTAAATTAAAGACTACTAGGCACTTTATGGTTTGTAGTGGGTAACTTTGTGATTTGTTGTTTCCCTACTGTTGTATGCCAAGACATTCCCATGAACACTTGGAATCAGATTTGACTGCTGCCAGAAGAGGGAAAATACATACCACAAACTAAATTTTTGTGGATAGCTTTATTCAAGGTCAGTGGCAAGTAACCTTGCTTCACTGCTGATTGTAAAATGTGGGCAGATACCTTATTTGCCACTGATCTGATAATCCTCAACTCCACCTTCCTGTTTTTTCCTTAACTCTTGATTCCCTTACTAATTAAAATATGTCTATCTCAGAGCCTTGAATGGATCTTCAGTATCTTAGTTCCAGGTCCCTGCATTACTTCCAGGTGTATTCCGGATAGTCCTTTGTATAGTTAATAACCTCCCTATTTCTGTAGTCTATTCCCTTTGAAATTAAGCCTAACTTATTACATGCCTTGATTGATTTGTTCTCACATGTACTGAGGTAATGAAAAGTTATTGTATGTGCTACACAGGCAGATTGTAGCATACACAGTTCATCAGGATAGCAGAACCAAGTGCAGAATATAGTGTTCTATATACCACATAGAAGGTGCAGAGACTAACATGAATTAACCTAAGAGGTCCGTTCAAAAGTTTGATTACAGTGGGGAAGAAGCTGTTATTGAATCTGGGGTGGGAGGGATCTTTGGTTACTTTGGTTGCTTTCGTAAGGCAGCAGGAAGTATAGATGGAGTTAATGAATGGAAGGTTGGTTTGTGTGATGCACTGGCCTTCCCTATTATCTGCTGAACTTGAATGCTGGCTTTTTGTCATTTATGTATATTTACCATTATTACCAGTTGCACCACTTTGAACCCTTGAAGTAGAAAAACCAGATAGTTACCATAAAGTACAATCTAGCCACTGCCTCATAACATTCAAAGGTGTTGCTGTCACTGAATCCCCTGTCCCCCTGCACGTTACCATTGATCAGAAGCTGACTGGACTCACCATGTAAAGTAGCTCCAATGGCCAGTCAGAGGCTGGGAATTCTGCAGTGAATAACTCACCTGATTCCCCAAAGCCTATCCACCATCTATAATGTGTAAGTCAAGAGCGTGATGGAATACTCTACTTGCATGGATGCATACACCTGTACAAAACCTCAATAAGCTTGACATCATCCAAGCATTCAGTCATTCTGGCACTGATGCTCATTTCACACTACTGCTACTATCTACAAGATACACTGCAGAAATTCACCAAAGATCCTTAGATGGCACCTTCCAAACCCATGGCCACTTCCATCTAAAAGCACAAGGGCCACAGATACGTGTGAATGCTACCACCTGCAAGTTCCCTTCCAAGACACACATCACCCTGACGTGGAAATATATTGCCATTTCTCCACTGTTGCCGGCCCAAAATCCTGAAATTCCCTCTCTAATGGCATATTGGGTCTACCTACTAGACTAGTTCAAGAAGGTAGCTCACCACCACCTTCAAGGACAATTAGGGACAGGTAATAAATACTGGCCAGTCAGCCACACCCACATCCCAAGAGTAAATAAAAAATGAACCACAATTTCTCCTATAGCAGAGTATCATCAGTTTTTGAGGCTAAACAGGTTTAGGAAAAGCAAAAGCAACAGAACACCTCTTTCACTTTCTACTTGTCATTCGCTTAATCACCTAACTCTGGCACTCTATTATATATTGCAATTGGGTTTTAAGTTGAACTAAATTGGTTAGTTTTATATGCCCCTAAGACAAAAAGCCTATCTCACTTACTGAATGAGGATCCAGTTTCAGCTAGTTCTTAATTATGCTGCTCTTTCA